TCCCATTGGAGTTAAGCAGAAAGTGGCATTTATTTTTCTTGTTAAATGGAAACTTTCTCAGTGTGTTATATACGTATTAAAATCCAGTAAATTAAAGATCCTATTAAACTGTCACTGATAGCCTAAAGTGACAATAAGTTCTGTATCTATTTGCATTTGTCATAGACTCCTTGATCCTTTGCACAACTGTGGGTGGTAACACTGTTATGCCAGTGCATCTAATTTTTTCTGAACATGGTTTAGAAAACTATTTTCTAAAATGAGCTGGTTTTTTCTGTTGCTTTACGTCACTTTTGTTTCATTTTATTTCAGTATGAGAAGGTTGCTGAAGATTTTGTAGTAATTTCTCTGATTATGCTCGATCCCAATATCCTCTCTGAAGCTTTGCAATCTCTGCTATGAGGCAAATGTTTCTGTGGAGGAGTCAATTAAACATTACTCTAAAGGCAGAAGCAGAGAACAACCGCAAATGTAAAAAAAGATAATAATAAAGATTAAAGATTTTTCTACCATCCGGTTACTGGATTTCTATGAAGTCTTGACGGCGGATGGATCTTGCTACTTCTTTGTTGTTGTTGTTCTTGCAGTAACACAGAAAGATCCTTTAACCCTTTTGAACATGCAATTCAAGGTTGTGGACCAAAGATGGAACAGTTCTGCTATAGACCACTTGGCTTCTAGAAAAAGCAAAGTTAAATACCTTCTTTTATGAGGAGCCTTTGTATTTTTAGCTGAGCTTAGTGCCATTAAATGTTGAACTAGCAGTGCAGAGACAGCAACTATGTTATCCTTGCTTTTGGATTAGCAAGTAGTTAAATTTGACACCGTGCCCTCGTACAAATTCAGATTATGGTATTTAAATATTATTCTCTTCAAATCCTTTTGATTCTAAATGTAGCAAATTCTGAAAGGCTGTGAAGTACTTGCAATTTCCTTGATATTTTCTAATTTAATACTCTTAAATCTTTTTTGTGTATCATAGGTCATGAAATTTGCTTCACGGTAAGGAAAATTGTGTTTAGTTTTGAACTGTTACCAGTGAAGGGATAAAAGGACGTAAACCACCAGATCTTTAAAAAAAAAACAAAGAATGGAAAAATTGAGAGTTATGAACTAAGGACACAGAAATAAACAATGCTTGTAGTAGTTGTGACTAGCCCTTCTGTCACAATTGTCAGGTTGAGATGTACAGAGACAGCACGTTGATCATACAAAGAAAAGAGCAAGATGTCCCCTCCTTGGCCAGGACCAATAGCCACTGGGCTGCTAGACACCACGTGTGAGGACTCAACTGCAAGAGCCCTTCAGAGTAACACCTGCTGACCCCACACTGGGGATCCTGCCTGTACTCTGGGTCCTTCTGGAGGGAGATGCCCCCACCAGCACCCTTTGGTGCCTGCTCCCCAGAGAGGCCAGGCTTCAGATGCACCCCTGTGCTCACCATTGCCCACAGGCTGGCTCTGGGTTGCTCTTGGGCAGGGTGCAGGGTGTTTCCATCAGCCTCCCCATGCCCTAAGCATGGACCTCAGCTCTGACTTTGGGCTCCAGGCTGGGGCCTAGACATCCAAATTGTGAATACTGCAGTTCCAGGGCCCTTCTTGGAATAAGCTCTTCATGTTCAAGTCGATGCTTAATGTTGGATATTACCTTGGATCACAGGCATCATTATTCTAATCTTCCTGCAGTGTTATTGACTGAGCTTTATTCACTGAGCTCTTTTAATAAGCAAAATGCCAATGACCAGAAGAAGAGTGTGTTTAGACCTGGCAGGATTTAAAGCCGCTTATGTGTAAGGTCCAACAGATGAGCTCTGTTGGATTTAGTCTTTGTAGCAGAGAAGAGATGACAGATGGAAACATGTGCCCACACATTTCCACTGCTCATAGCATCTTGTATCTTAATCTCAACTTCTAGGGAAGATGGCTTCACAGCTGGAATAGTAGCTAATGTCTGGACACCTTTCTAGTTTCTCTTGTTACCTCCTGTTTCTCTTGTTTCATTGTTTCTCTTGTTACAGTTTTCCTTGTTACCCGTGTAGCAAAGCAGTAGAAAGGAAGTGGAAAGTGACCATTCAGAAGGTCTTTGCATGCTAATATGGTGCAATGTGTGCTAGGTGGGGATGAATATCAGTCATTTCCTCATTAAAAAAAAACAATATCAACCACTTTAATTTTAATCTGCAAATTACTTATTTTTTCACAACACTGAAATTCAAGAATTGGAATCTTATAGTTAGAAAATTTACACATCTAAATAGCATATTTTCTTATATTTCCTTACATTTATACATCATTTTGGAGGGATCATGTAAATGTGTGAACAAACCTAGACTTCACACATGCAGATGATCAAGATGTTAAGCATTCAGTGTACCTCAGCCTTTTGTCCTGAGGTAAAGTTTGGAACAAGTATGTGTTGGCATGGACAGACAGACATGGTCTTTGGGTCTTGTGTGCAGGTAAGAATTGCTCATTCAGTGATTAGAATTGTGGATGTGTGATGCTTCAATGTAGGCATGTTACAGCTATCAGAAGGAACATCTTGCTTTGTGTTTGTGGAGTAGAATATGTGTTAGAGATTGTGAATGTCATTGACCATCTGCTCTGCCTTCTGAAATGGCACAAGTCTAAGCATGCTCTTTCAGAAAGAACCGATCACACGGGACAGAGCAGCATTTCTACAGCATCTCCCACTTTTATGAGGAATATGAAGGCTGAGTTGTATGTGTGTGCATATGTGCAAATGGATGTGTACACTCGTGTATGTACTTTAATTACCTCAGAATTCACTTGATGTACTCTATGTGAGGGTCTAGCTTAGAAACTCAGCATGGTCATGGACTCAGATAGTGAGGGAGCCCCAGCACCAGCACTGTCATGGGAAGAAGCATGGACTGTAACACACCTCATATCTTCTAGCTGTTTTGCTATTGCAGCTGGTAAGTTGTAACAAAAAATTACTCGCTCCTTCACGGCATATTTTATTTAAAACTTCTAGCACATTTCTTCATAAACCTTAGACTGTGCTATGAGAATAATTACAAACAAATGTTTAAGCACCAGAAAATGTGTCCAGAGAGATTGTGGCAACTTCCTTCTTTGAGATTTCCAAAATTCACCTATACATGTTCCTAAACAGTCTGATCTTGCTGTGCTTTGAGAATTGTATGAGACACTTCCAGCAAATATGTTGACCTAAATCTTTTCAGGATGCCAAGATTCAGTGATTTTTCTCCATCAAGAGTGAGACCTGTGTGTCCTCAAACCTGCACCCTGGATATTTTCAGTGTTTAACTGACCAAACCCAGCAGGCCCTTTCAAATTGTCTCTGCCTGACTTGTCCAATCCTTCTTTTACATCCTTCTCATATTATTTATAGGGGATTTATTCAGTCAGTGGATATCAATAATTTCTAATTATATCTGGTCACATCACCTGACAGTTTTTCCTTTAGTTGACTTTGCCAAAAAATTCTTTGCCAGGAACAAAGTTTGCCAAAAATGTGATGACTGAAGAAAGAAAGGGTATCTGTACCATGTGAAAACAAGAGTATAAAATGCCTTGAGACAAGACAGCTCTGCCTTTAAAGAAAATTTCAAGGTAAGTGTGAGGCGTCTTGGCTAGCAAAGACGAGGTAGAGCCTTGCATTCTCTATTATACTGCAGTCCTACTAGCTCTCATTTTCAGAAGGTGACCTGTTTCTCAGCTTGTATTTTAAATATGCTTTCAAGGCATTTGTAAATATTCATTCTGAAACTCCACTCTGAATTACTTCAGAGCAAAAAGTAGAGAAATTGTTTTTCCATTTTACATACTACCAGCCTGCAAGTCACACAGCCTGCAAGTAACTCGTCATATCCCACAAGAGGTAAGATGTTGCTTTATTTATTCCTTGTGTATAAAAAGGACATATAAAGGATATGGACTTGTGTAGCAGCTCTGCTTCGAAATATATATTTACTGGGGAGGGATGTAGGGGGAGAGACGGAAATTACGCTGGGAGTTCATCTGCCTTCCAAAGAGTATGTCTAAAAGTATAATGTAGTGACATGTAAGAAAAATAACATGTATCTTAGAAGCAGTATGACTATATCACTGTCATGCTGCACTTTTAATAATAAACCTTGCTCTTTGGTAGGATGAAGTAACTTGGGTGGAGAAGAGCACACTGATACAGTTCTGCTGCTTCCAGTACTAGATCTTGCAGAACTGATGATGGCCATTCTGTACACAGAACACTATGAAGTTCATGGTGCTTTGTAATGTGCTGTAAACATATGATAGAAGACCATTTAAGGTAGAATTTCTTTCCTGCTGACAGGCAGTTTGCTGTCTGTGTTATGTAAAATCCCATAATTCCACTCACCTGTACTTAAAACCACTCGAAGCTGATATCTCATTTTAATTATGAACCAAAGAAGCGTATGGGGTTCTTATCCCTAAATCTTTGACTTGGCAGTATCCAGACGGATGAAGTTACACCAGAAGAAAATATTTATGTATTTTATTCATTAGCGAAAAACAAGTGAGTCAGTCTATCACTTTATCCCGTGTTTTCTATTAAAATATATTGTGTTGGAAAATATAGTGTTCTGTTGTGTAATCAGTCCTGCTGATTAGCTTTGAAATGTGATGCAGATGATGAAACTAAGAGTGTCCTCTTAGAGCTACAAATTCTCTAGTTGGTGGTAACAAATTTGAGTCAAGCGAGAACACGGATCACAACCACTATTTATTTGAATGACTATCATTAATTAATTTGCTACAATTATTAGACTCAAGCTGTTACTATTAATGGCAGGCAACCGTGGGCATTGTATAATCATGTACTTCCTCACAGCTCTTTCATGCACTCACTGATCCACAGCTCCACAGTAGAAGCAACAATCTTTTTCTTTTATTTTTTAAAGGTCGATCCAGTTAATATTTATATATATATTAAAAATATAATGTTTTGCCCATTGGAGTTCTCTACAGGTGTAGCCCAAATAACCTGGAGCCATGTCTTCAGATGCTGAGATGGCCATCTTTGGGGAGGCAGCTGTGTATCTCCGAAAGTCAGAAAAGGAGAGAATCGAGGCCCAGAACAAGCCTTTTGATGCCAAGTCATCTGTCTTTGTGGCACATCCTAAGGAATCTTTTGTGAAAGGGACAATCCAGAGCAAAGAATCAGGGAAAGTCACTGTCAAGACAGAAGGTGGAGAGGTGAGGGATAAACAAGGCTGAAGGACACCCTTCAATTTCCAGTCTCAGGTCTTAGCTGACAGTCATGCATCTCTCTTTCCTCTGACAGACCCTGACCGTGAAGGAAGATCAAATCTTCTCCATGAACCCTCCCAAGTATGATAAAATCGAGGACATGGCCATGATGACCCACCTCCACGAACCCGCTGTGCTGTACAACCTCAAAGAGCGTTATGCAGCCTGGATGATCTACGTAAGTACCAGCAGCGCTCTTCCCTTGGCTAGCTGGGAGGAACTGCTCTGGAAGTGGCTAAGTGGAAGCCAACGTGCTGTCTGCCTTCCTCACAGACCTACTCGGGTCTCTTCTGCGTCACTGTCAACCCCTACAAGTGGCTGCCGGTGTACAACCCGGAGGTGGTGTTGGCCTACCGAGGCAAGAAGCGCCAGGAGGCCCCTCCACACATCTTCTCCATCTCTGACAATGCCTATCAGTCCATGCTGACTGGTGAGTGGCTGTAACTCCCTTAAGTAAATTCTACTGTGAGTATCTTTCAAGGGGATAACAATTTGGGTCTAAAAGCTCAGTTTGAATTGTTTCTTTCCAGGGTAATTTCCCTGGCCACCCATATTGTGTTACTCCAAATATTCTAGATGTCCCTTTCAACCAAGCCTGAGAGAAGCTGTGTTTAGCTCTAAAGACTATTACAAGAAATAGCATAGACTGAATTACTCCCAATCTTTCTTCTTGTTTAAGTCCCTCAGTAGTGTCACAGCAGCTTTACCAACTTAACACATCATTTCAGGGTTTCAACAGTCCATATCTGAGCTTTATGCTGCAAAAACCCCATTATTTCAATGGGCAGTAGAGCCATTTCTCCTTCTTTTGGGCACAGTACTGAAAGATTCTAAGAACCATAAGAAAATAATTCTAAGAACCATAAGAAAATAATTAGAATGTTTCAAATCAAAAAAGTGATCTTCTCTTGTAGCAGTGTGCTATAGCTACCCCAGTCTATCAAACATTTGAGGAATTCCTTAGCGTAGATATCTCTGTGGCTGGTTGTGGGACATGGTGGGGTGGATTTCCTAAGTGTAGCTCTGAGCATTTCCACTTGAAAGAATGAAAACTGAAAATGACAAAATTTTTGACTTGCACATATCTACCCAATCATGTAGTAAAATTGGAGCACACAAGGCTGTGGGATGTGCATAATATGCTTGAAACAAGAAGTTGGGCATGTGTAAGGAATAGTGTTTTGGACTTGAGTGAGTAAAGAATTAAGATCAGGTATGGCAATATGGTATAGGTGTTGGGCATTGAATCAGGGATTATTCCAAAAGCTAGTCAATTTGCATGCAGACAACAGTATATTCTAGAGGGAATTGGCCATGAATCATATGGATTTATGTCTCTCTGGGCTAGTAGCTTGAATAAATATTGTCCAGGTTTGGAGTCCTCAACACAGGAAGAACATGGACCTGTTGGAACGGGTCCAGCGGAGGGCCATGAAGATGATCAGAGGGATGGAGCACCTCCCCTGTGAGGACAGGCTGAGAGAGCTGGGGTTGTTCAGCCTGGAGAAGAGAAGGCTGTTGGGGAGACCTTATAGCAGCCTTTCAATATCTGAAGGGAGCCTATAGGAGAGCCAGAGAGGGACTCTTTGTCAGGAAGTGTAGTGAAAGGACAAGGGGTAATAGTTTTAAACTGAAAGAGGGAAGATTTAGATTTGATACTAGAAAGAAATTCTTTACTGTGAGGGTGGTGAGGCACTGGAACAGGTTGCCCAGGGAGGTCGTGGATGCCCCATCCCTGGAAGTGTTCAAGGCCAGGCTGGATAAAGCCTTGAGCAACCTGCTGTAGTGGGAGGTGTCCCTGCCCAGGGCAGGGGCGTTGGAACTTGATGATCTTTAAGGTCCCTTCCAACCCAAACCATTCTATGATTCTATGATTCGATGAATAAGAATCACTGGATTACATTAAAAACTTAGTTTTTATAGAATCTTTTTCTGGTAAGATATCTGCTTTAATCTTCTGCAGCCAAGAATATACATGCTTGAAAGAATCATGCCTAAAGTACAGAATATGTTTTTAATGGGCTGATGGATCCTTGGATGGGCTTAGAAAAATCTGGGGCCGGATGTTCTTTGGACTCCCTCAATTGCCATTGACTCTCTGTGCTGGGGAGTTGAGATGGACTTTTATCATGTAACCTAACGTTAACCTGAAATTCTGATTTCATTGGAATTTTTTATCTTTTATTTTGTTTTTTTGATGCTTTAACTTTTAAAACATATGCAAATCTGAAGATTTGCAAGAAACCTAGCAAAAAATAAAAAGAGAAAATGAGGATTTTGAAAAAACACATTCAGAAACATTCTTCTGTATTTAATAAAAAGATGCCTGAACAAAGGAAATGAAAAAGAAAGGGAAGAAAGGATTTCTGAATAAAGGTTTCATTTTTGATAGTATCCAAAAATTATTCCAAAGGCAGATTATTACTGAAGGGAGTTACTTAACTGCCAAAAAAATGTTTTTGTCACACAACTATCATGATACCTTATTTTTAGACCACTTTTAGTGTTTCATATTTTGTTCATTGGCATTAAAGTTTCTTTGTATCTGCCTCTTCTCACAGATCGCGAGAACCAGTCGATCCTGATCACGTATGTACACCCCCTGCTCGGGTCTCTGCGGGGCTGCCCGGTGCCAGGGGACCTCCTGCCTGACCACACGCTCTCTGCTTCTCTCTTTGGTTGGACAGTGGAGAATCCGGTGCCGGGAAGACTGTGAACACAAAGCGTGTCATCCAGTACTTTGCAACAATTGCAGCCAGTGGGGAGAAGAAGAAAGAGGAGAAGCAGCCAACAGGCAAAATGAGGGTGAGTTACCAGTTACTAACATTTTGTCTGGTTCTGCAGTTGTTATGTGGGTTGAACTATGTGTTTTAACAGTAATTATCCTGTAGGGAACGCTTGAGGATCAAATCATCAGCGCCAACCCATTGCTGGAGGCCTTTGGAAATGCCAAGACTGTGAGGAACGACAACTCCTCACGCTTTGTGAGTTTTCAGTCAAAACCAGCTTCAGTTTACAAGTAGGAAGAATTCTATTGATATTGATTTCTTCCTGAAGTTCAATGTAAGAAATTTATATTTGTGTTTCCTCATATATTTCCTCATTTTACAGCTAAGTTTACATTCAATACAAACATATCCTGAAATGGTAAACTGGTAGAATGACATATATATCTTTATTACACTGTATAAAATGTTCATTCTCTTGTTCAGCCCTCAGCAGGACTTACTTGAAATTTCGATCAGATTGTTCAGGACCTGATACAGTCAAGTTTTGAAAGTCTCCAGGACTAGAGATTCCACAGCCTCTGAGTAGCTTTCCTAAAACCACAATGCACTTATAGTAAAAATGTTGGTTTTCATGTTAAGTCAGAATTTCTCTTGCTGCAATGTGTGATGTTGCCATTTGTGCTTTCATAGTAAAACTCTGAAAAAAGTCTAGCTCTGATTTCTCTATAACTCCTTTTAGTGAGTAGAGTTTCCCTCCTGTTCTCCAAACTCAGTCTTCTCATCCTCTCTTTAAGACTGTCATCTCTTTTTTTGCTTCCCCTTCTCTTAAGGGCAAATTCATTGTTTTGTTTATTTTGGAAAAAATAAGAAAAAAATCAAAACAGCTTCTTTTTACATCCTGTTCTCTGTGGAGAATGTAGGATTACACAGTTACAGTCTTAGTGACATTTAATAATGCCTGTTTTCTTTCATTTCTAAAGGGCAAATTCATCCGGATTCACTTTGGAGCCACAGGCAAACTGGCTTCTGCTGACATTGAAACATGTAAGAGACTTCCTCACCTGATCACATTCCTTCCTCCCTTTCCACCACAGTGTACTTGCTCAGATCTAACTCTGTCCTACCATCCTTGCCAGACCTGCTGGAGAAGTCCAGAGTCACCTTCCAACTTAAGGCGGAAAGAAGCTACCACATATTCTATCAGATCATGTCCAACAAGAAGCCAGAGCTAATTGGTAGAAAATACTATAAATTGTTTGATGAAATCTAAATGCGTTTGGCATTTATCTTCATTCCTACTGGCAGATATGTCCTATTCTTCTTTACAGACATGCTCCTCATTACCACCAACCCATATGACTACCAATTTGTGAGTCAAGGTGAGATCACTGTTGCCAGCATTAATGACCAGGAGGAGCTGATGGCTACAGATGTAAGTGTCACAGACCATACCGGTATGGTGAAAGTCCCACCTAGTGGCCCAGAGGTTTATTTGACTGATTCTGTTGCCAGAGTGCCATTGACATCCTGGGCTTCACTGCTGATGAGAAAGCAGCCATTTACAAGCTGACGGGGGCTGTCATGCACTATGGGAACTTGAAGTTCAAGCAGAAGCAGCGTGAGGAGCAGGCAGAGCCAGATGGCACAGAAGGTATTAGAATAATTTGCTACTGATCTCTCTGTACTACCAGCAAAAATTTGTATTGTAATTCTAACCGTTCGTAGAAAAGGTGTTTTTTGAAAATTATAGGCTTTTTTTCCTTCAAAGAAAAGACATTTTTTTTTAAAGTAGCTGAGTTCAGCATTCCAAGGACAATAACATTGCTTAGATATCTTCTTTCATTGTCTTTAAGCCTGAATTCTAAACTTTTAATTTTCTTGGCCCTGAAATCTCCTCCATTCTCTCACATCACATTCTCTATCCTCCCAGTTCTAGGGAATGACATTGAAAGAAGCAAGCAGACAGTTTATCAATAGCTGACTCCAAAGCTGGTGTCACTAGCGGAATTTTGGGTTTTTCAATCATGGGATTATCTAGGTGACATCAGGATTCTGGGGCCTGATGGGATTCACCTTTCTCAGTGGGGAAAAAATATTTTTGCTGATGAGTTAGTGGGACTGATTGAAAGAGCTTTAAATTCAATTCAAAGGGGGGATAGAATAAAATTAGGCTTACTAGAGATGAGCAGGCATGACAACATCTGAGGGATGGTGTGCTCGTGAGTTAAGCTTATCTCCACAATGTACTGAGCGCTCTGGAACGCATTTGAAAAGTGCATACAATAATGCATGCAGTATGAGGAATAAACCAGAGGAACCAAAATTTTTGACTCAGTCCCAGAGCTACAATGTCACTGCTCTAAGTGAGACTTGGTAGGAAGTGTCCCGTGACTGCCGTGCTGTGATGGACAGTTATTGGCTCCCCAGGAGTTAGAGGCAGGACAAACAAGGTGAAGGGATAGCACTTTATGTAAAGGAGTTGGACTGTACAGACCTTGCAGCTGGGGATGACATAGCTCTGTGAAAGGATTAGGGGACAAGCTAATAAAGCAGATGTTCTTGTGGGGCTCTACTATAAATTGCCTGGCCAGACTGGTGACACCGATGTACTGTTCTATATGGAATTAAAGGAAACCTCTAGATAAGTTTCCCTTGTCCTTATGGCTTACTTCAGTTTACCAGATATTAACTGGGACTATCATACAGTAGAGGTGAACAGGTCCAGGAAATTCCTGAAACATGTTGAAGACAGCTTCTTGATACAGGTACTAAGGGAACCAACTAGATCTGTTGTTTGTTGAGATCTCCTTGTAGGTAATGTGACAATTAGTGGCTGTCTTGGCCACAGTGATGATGAAATGGTTGCATTTAAATCTTTGGTGATATGAGAAAAACTGTCAGAATTTGGGAGAGAAGATTTTAGGATGCTCAAGGAACTAGTTAGTGAGGTCCCCTGGGAATCTACTTTCAAGGGTATTGAGGTCCACTGATCACATTTTGAGAGCCATCTTTTAAGAGCACAGGAACAGGCAATTCCAATGTGTCATAAGTCAAGCAAGCAGGGCAGAAGGTGGGTTGACTGAACAGGGATCTCATTCTGGAACTTAGGAGGAAAAAGAATGTGTATGGACTTTGGAAGCAAGGTCAGGCTATATAGAAGGACTGCAGAGATGCTGTTCACCACTGTAGGGAGAAAATGCATACAGCCAAAATTCAGTTAGAGCTGAAGCTGACCAGTACTGTGCTGGATAACAAAAAAGGCTTTTTAAAGTATGTTAACAGCAAAACGAAACAGTGGTCCATTACTCAATGAAGTTGGTCAGGGATATAAGGATATAGGGATAAAGATGAAGTGGATACATTTAATGACTTCTTTGGATCTGTCTTTAACACCAATGGGACCCTGGGACACCTAGAACCCAGGGTTGGAGGACTGTGACGAGGGGAGTGATAAGCTCCTAGCTGAGTTTGAACTTGTACAGAATTTGCTGCTGAAATTGAATGCACATAAGACTATGGGCCCTAATGGGATTCCTCCCAAGGTACTGAAGGAGTTGGCCAAAATTGCGAGACCTCATATGGTTATTTATCAATGGTCTTGGGAATCTGGAGAAGTCCCAGTTTATCAGAAGCTAGCAAATGTTACTCCAATTTTCAAACAGGGCAAAAAGGAAGACCCTGGTAATTTTCACTGTCAGTTTCACTTTGGTTCCTGGTAAAAACACGGAGAAGATTATGCTGGGAATTATTAAAAGACACTTAAAAGACAATGTAGTCATTGGGTCAAAACCAACATGGGTTCATTAAGGTAAAGTCATATCTTAATGTCCTTTTACATTAATATCTTTTTATGACAAAGTTACCCACCTAGTGGATGAAGGGAAGGCAATGGATGTGGGTTTTTTGGGTTTTAGCAAAAAATTTGGTAATATCTCTCACAGTATCCTTCTGGACAGAATATGCAGCACACAGCTAGACTTGTACACAATATGATGAGTGAACAATTGGCTGAAGGGTCTGACTCAAAAGGTTGTACCAAATGTGGTAACATCTGGTTGACTGCTGGTCACCAGTAGTGTTCCCCAGGGCTTATCAATGGCCTGAAAACAGCAGTTAAGTGCACACTAAGTTAAGTGTGCCAACGTTATTAAATTAGGGAGAACCAGTGATTACCTTGAGTGTAGAGGGGTCTTACAGGGAGATTGTGGTAGATTGGAGTGCTGGGCAAATGTCAAATGCAGGAAATTTAACAAGGACAAATGGTGTGTTCTGCATCTGGGACAGTATAATCCTTGATGTACATATAGACTTCTGGACAAGATGCAGGAGAGGAGCCCTGCAGAAACAGATCTGGAGGTTTTGGTTGATAAATCAACAGTCTACCCTGGTGGACAAAGGGCCAACCATATCCTGGGGTGCATTAAACATAGTATAGCTAACAGGTCAAAAGATGTGATTGTACCACCACACTCAAGATTGGTATAGTCTCACCGTGAGGCCTGTGTGCAGTTTTGGGCACCACAATATAAAAAGGATATAAAAATATTTGAATATGTCCAAAGGAAGGCATAAAATATAGTTAAAGGACTAAAGGGCATAATTCATGAGGAACAACTGATATCCTCAGATTTGTTTAGTTTAGAGGAGACTGAGGGGTGACCTCATGAATGTGGGGGAGTGGAGAGTGGGGTTATGATCTTCTTTCTGGTGTATGGTGATAGAATGCAAGGGAGTGACTTAAAGTTGTGTCAGGGGAAGTTCAGATTGGATATTAGGAAAAGGTTCCTCACTGAGAGGGTGATCAAGCATCAAAACAAGATTCCCAGGGACGTGATCATGGTCGTAAGCCTGTTGATGTTCAAGAAGCATTAGGGCAATGTTCATATGGTTTAACTTTCATGTTGCCCTGTGTGGACACAGGATTTGAACCCAATGATCCTTCTGGGTGCGTTTCAAATCAGAACATTCTATGACATTTCTAAACTACCCTTCAGAGAATATTTTGTTCTGAAATAATTTTAGCAAAACCTGTGCATCATCAGATAATGTATTCTTTTCTTTCTGTTGTCAGTTGCTGACAAGGCTGCCTACCTGATGGGTCTGAATTCAGCTGACCTGCTTAAGGCCCTCTGCTACCCTCGAGTCAAGGTGGGGAATGAATATGTGACCAAGGGTCAAACTGTGCAGCAGGTAACAACCAGATCATGTTTGGGAACCTCTGACTTGAATGAATGTCATAAGCATTCTCTTCAGATCTGTATGGTAACTTACTTACTTTCCTCCTTGTATAGGTGCACAATTCAGTAGGTGCCCTGGCAAAGGCTGTCTATGACAGAATGTTCTTGTGGATGGTTGTTCGCATCAATCAACAGCTGGATACAAAGCAGCCCAGACAGTACTTCATTGGTGTCCTGGACATTGCTGGCTTTGAGATCTTTGATGTAAGGAAAACAATTTGTTGATGCTTCTTAGAAGACACATCCAACTATTAAGGAAATTCAATAAATATGTTGCTTTATTTACACGATAGTGGAAAAATCATTACACACTTATAGGACCTCAGAAGCACCTGGGTCATGGATTTACATGAAGAACAACTCGGTAATAATACTCTCCAGAAGTACAAAAATTCTCATAAGACATAGAAAATGGGTATTGAAGGACTATCAGGTATGCCATTATAGGCTGAAAATGGTGGCAAATTAATACAGGCTTTTTGCAATGTCAGTTTTGATGTATTAGGGCACCAAAAATTATGAAATTCTGTGTTTAAGGATGCAGTAAAGCAAGGATTTGATCTCAAAGAAGAGAAAATTTTGAATTGAATACTTGAAAGATTAAAATTGAATCAGAAAGAAGTGCTATAACATGTTTAGGGACTAATCTTCTATTTTTTACCCTGCGTATGCTTTATAACTGTGTACAAATTAGTAATATTTGTTGCAAAAAATACCATAAAATCCTTTGAGAGCACTGAATTTGAAGTCTGTCTTTCTTCAATGTGAAGGGAAAGGTGTTATTGAGAATGCTGCATGTAGTACTTAGTATAGTGTAGTTTTCACTGTGGAAGCTTGTGAATTTAGATTTCTTAAGTTTCTCCTTTTTCAACATATGATACCATTGTTGCATGATGAGCAGAGTGCTGATATGAGAGAAGAGAGCTGCAGTGTAGTCTTCAGATGCATGACATGCAATTACATAGAGTTCCTCTGACTACAGGCAATTAGTACATCGAATAACCCTAGCCGGTGTTAGGAAAAGGACACTTGCCCTGCCACTGGCTCTTTCCTCTAGATATAGCTGTTAAGTAGATCACAGATCAGGCTGTTCAGCTGTGTCTGGTACATGCTTGTTACAGGAAAGATGCTGTAGAAGAGTGCTACATGTGAATTATAAGCGTATCTAACCATAGATTTCTGAGCTGGAAAGTAATAGAGTAAATCTCACTGTTTTATAGCAGTAGAAACACAGTTCAAAAATAGCTGCATCTGTCTGTGCTTTGCAGTACAACAGCCTGGAGCAGCTGTGCATCAACTTCACCAATGAGAAACTGCAACAGTTCTTCAACCACCACATGTTCGTGCTGGAGCAGGAGGAGTACAAGAGGGAAGGAATCGAGTGGACGTTCATTGATTTTGGGATGGACCTGGCTGCCTGCATTGAGCTCATTGAGAAGGTATCCTTCCTGTTCAGGTGCATTATGAATCTGGGAATTCTGTTTTTACTTGGCATCAGTTTTCACACCCAAATTTTGTTTTGGTTATTTGAAATCCCTGACACATAGCTTGTTTTTATCTGTGAGGTTTCAACACCTTCATGGCAACAGCTCTGCACAGACGTCTTTTCAAGAGCCAAAACACTGCAAAGCTCCCAATAATGGTATTCATTCATAAGAACTAGAGTTAGTTTCCACTCTAAAGCCAACAAGTTTCTCTTAAGCTCTGATAGATTAATTTCTGCCTAGCTACAACAGGAGATTTTTAATTATGTTTTTTTATATTTGCAATATAAAAATGGAACTTCACAACTTCCAGTTGATAGCCATCCTTTCATGTGCATTAATTAGTGTGCTATGTCAGCGGTCAAGTTTATTAAAAGACATGGCATTCAGTCACTAGGAGGATCTTGAGCAGAGAGACTTTTTATTAAGACATATCCATATGTTTAGACCAAGAGTTTTTGTTAATATGACATTTTTAACTTTATTTTTCAATTTTTATTGCACAAATAATGTAAACTTCCATCAGTCACTGAACCTTTGAAAGTAAACTGGGTAAGTATCCATGTTTAACCCTGCTATTTGGATTTGAAAAGAGTAGTATTCCTTTGCTGATACCACAGTCTTTATTTTTATTTCATATTCTATTGAGATAAGCCCAGCCACCGTTGTGTATAAAGGCCAATTTAACATCTGTGTTTTTTTGCTTTCTTCCAGCCCATGGGCATCTTCTCCATCCTGGAAGAGGAGTGCATGTTCCCCAAGGCAACTGACACCTCTTTCAAGAACAAGCTCTATGATCAGCATCTGGGCAAGTCCAGCAACTTCCAGAAGCCCAAGCCTGCCAAAGGCAAGGCTGAGGCCCACTTCTCCCTGGTGCACTATGCTGGCACGGTGGACTACAACATCACCGGCTGGCTGGAGAAGAACAAGGACCCCCTGAATGAAACTGTCATTGGGTTGTACCAGAAATCATCTGTGAAGACACTGGCCTCACTCTTTGCTTCTTACGGCGGAGAAGCAGGTAAAAAAAATAAATCTTTGGGTTCATGCATGTACAATGTATAGGGAGAATCACAAATTAAAATTATATTTTTTTTTTTTTTTAATTCTGTAGAAGGTGGTGGTGGCAAGAAGGGTGGGAAGAAGAAGGGTTCTTCTTTCCAGACTGTCTCAGCTCTTTTCCGGGTAAGTACATAATTTGTTATCTCTGCTGATCTGGACATAGAAAATAAACTTCCTTGAAATTCCCATAGTTCTTGGTTCCAGTTTGGCAAGCTGTAGTCATAGTTTTTTAGAATTCTTGACCCATTTTCTTATAGCAAAAAAATCCATCATGTCACTTGACCTCTGTTGGAGTGGATACAGAACTTATCATTTTATCCCCTAATTTACAATGATGTTGTCATCTGTCATAACAAAATTTTCTTATGTAGCCTAGAAGCCTTCTTTCCCTCTCCTCCAGATTTCAAGGTGAAAAATAGTGTTGTAATGAGATTGTTTTGCCTTTTGGGTTAAATGTCTTATTTATCATTACCATGTCAGCTGTGCATTCTAGGAGTTATTCTGATATGTGTGAAATATCCACGTATCTTGAGCTCTAAACTGATAACAATTCAGAAGCTTAATGGTTCTTTCTCAAGCCTGGGCCTTCCTGCCTGGCTTTTCCTTATGCTTATCCTAGGAGAAGCTGCTGGTCTGACCACAAACTGTGGTCCTGAATACCTGCAGGGAAGAACAGCAGATTAACCTGGGAGAAGTAAACTGTGTAGACCTCTCACAGGTGAAGGACATTTGTAAATGTCTCCCTAGTTGTCCTTCTATTCTTCTTGGTAAAGTCATGTTTTACATCACACCCTTGAAAAACTGTAGGCTTTCCAAGGTAAACTTAGTAGCGTCTGCCACACTGATTTTTATTTTGGTATCCACCATCATTGCAAAAACAGGCTTTGCAAAAACATGACTTACATATCAAAAATACATTTTGAAACATGTTAAAAAAAATGCCCTCTCTGATGTGATTTGAGGCAGGGTGAGTGTTACTGATAGCTGTTCAGTTTAGAACGCTTTGGACCACAGCTGAAATTTGTTGCCTTGTCCTTCTCTTCTGTCATCCTTGTGCCTGCCTCTGAATCACATATAAAAAAAGCAGCTTTCACACTTGGCTCCGCAGGATACACAGGTGATAGGCTTTTTGAATTAATACCAATATTCACTCAAATTAACTCATTATCTGGAATAGATTTGTGAGGTATCAAATATAGTGATATTTCAGATAAAATTATATTAGCACTGTATGAGCTTTCCAGAGCAAAATGGCATTTTTTTTTTTTTTTACATTTTATCACAGTATTAATAAAATGGACAATTCATATGACTACAGCAAGTTTGATGGCATTGTAGTAGTTTTACTGTAAAGGTGAATCCACGGAACAAATATTTACTAATATAAACTTTTGTTCATAATTCTTCAGGAGAACTTAAACAAGCTGATGACCAATCTGCGCAGCACTCACCCACATTTTGTGAGATGCATCATCCCCAATGAAACAAAAACACCTGGTAAAATCCTCAAATATATGGAGGTTTTCCTGTGATACAGAAGATCTCTGTGTTGTGATCCATGATGTTCACTTGTGTTCTGAATTGTTAGGTGTCATGGAGCATGAACTGGTGCTACACCAGCTTCGGTGCAACGGTGTGTTGGAAGGGATCAGAATTTGCAGAAAAGGATTCCCCAGCAGAGTTGTCTATGCTGACTTTAAACAGAGGTCAGGTTTCTACAGCATACTGTCTTATTATAGCCAAGTCTATGCACACTGAACCTGGTGGGAAAATTTAAGACCATGTTATGACATTGATATATCTTTTGTAGAGATGGGATAAATAACCTTTGTTGTCTTTACTCAGCACCTTATATCTCACCTGTTCTTTTGATAGTCTTACATGACTTTGAAAGCAAACAGAACATACTGGTATCCTCTCTAGAAAGGTCCTGACATTGTATGTTGCAAGAACAGCTGGAATTTGTATAAGCAATTATCAGCAAGCAACAATGGCCAACTGCTCCCTAAGAGAAGGAGAACAGGGTGCAGGGTGCAGTCCAAGAGGGTCTGAACACAGTGGCCAGATCTGGGGGCTGGGGGTACATTGACAATCCCAGTTAAGGCAAGCATTGAATCAGATTCAGGGTCCATCCGGGTGGTCCTGCCAGGAGCAGCAGGAGATGGGGATAGAGACAGCAGACAGCACTGGCAACAAAGCTACAATATCTGTAGAAGAGCTCCAAGGAGGAGACAACCACCTACAGTATTGATCCAAGGTCCATTGAGAAAGCAAAGCCAGAAACAGAGCTGAAGAACAGCTATGATGCAACTCATGCAAGAAATGAGATCCAAGGCCTAAGGTGAAATGGAACACATGGGCATATGGTGGAGGCCCTAGGTGAGGCTGATCAGGGCCATTAAGTTCCTTCAGGACCCTGAAAGCTATATGATTACTTAAACACAGATTATTTGGTGTGGCAGGTTTCCTTCTAGCTAGCTCAAATTCCAAACTAATGTAGCTTTTTTAAATTCCTATATTATAGTTATTTAAATAATACATTCATTGTAATATGTTCCTATTTTCTAACATTTATTTTATTGTCAATGATACTGTAGTATCATCTGCTCCATGAAGAATTATAATGGGTAAGTTGTAGCAAAAGTTTCTCACATTGCTCAGAAAATGTATTCCTATTTAACAAAGGAATATCTCAAAAAATCAGTCAATGTTCAGCCAAGACATTGTCTTGCCATATTGGGAAGCCATCAAGCCTGTCTTAAAAAAAAATAATAACCATATTGGGAAGCCATCAAGCCTGTCTTAAAAAAAAATGTTGGCTTGGGTAATAAGAATATTCTTACCTTTTATTTTTTTCCTACAGGTACAGGGTATTGAATGCAAGTGCTGTCCCAGAGGGACAGTTCATGGATAGCAAGAAAGCTTCTGAGAAGCTCCTTGGATCCATTGCTGTTGATCACACACAATATAAATTTGGTCACACCAAGGTACAAGTACAACTTGGTTAAAATATAGACATTTTTTACAGAAATATTGAGAGGTATGAGTGAAATATAAATAGAAATGTACATACATAAAAGCACTAGAAACAAAAGCAGTGCAAGGACTAAATAGCCAAGGATATGTTTGCCAGCAGTAACCGTGGTAGCATATGTAGCAGAAAGATATAGCTTGCACCAAGACCACAGGATGGTCCCACCACCAGCCAGTCTGTGCTCTGTTTCTCAGAGGATGACAACAGAAAGTCTGCATCCAAAAGATACAGAAAATGAGGAAACAAAAGAAAATGGACAGCAGCCTTCACTGAGTTTTGTGAATTATGAAGAAATTTTCTGAGGTTAAAGAACATTCTGCTAAGTTATTGATTCCTAAAAGGGATAAAAAGGCCTGTCCAGTTACCTGACTGCCAATCGAGGTAAACCTAGAGGATGTAGTGAGGAACTGGTAGCTGAAATCCCTTATCTTCTGTGTATCACACAACTCATACCATTCAGACTGCCTGGTCACACACACTGATGTCTGTGAGTACATTGGTGTGATGGTGTCAGTGGTTACAGTCAATTTAGAGAACTAACTAAAATAAAAATATCACCTTTTCATTTCATAAAGTAACAGTGCTACCAACACCAGTAATCCCTATGGAAATGTGATCTGTTGGTATTATGATGATCTAGCATTGATGCCTTATGTCATCCTCTTTCTCAAGGTGTTCTTCAAAGCTGGACTGATAGGTCTTCTGGAGGAGATGAGGGATGAGAAACTGGCACAGGTCATGACTCGCACACAAGCCAGATGCAGAGGCTTTCTGATGAGAGTGGAGTACCAGAGAATGGTGGAGAGAAGGTAGACACTCTTCTTAAAGTTCATATCATTGCACATTGTTTCTGCAGACACGACACTGAGAATTCTTCCTGTGTGTCCTGAGAAACTTGCTCTAGGTGACTATGCTTGAGCAGGAGGGGTTCAACAAGTTGTTCTAGAGTTCCAGTCTCAACCACTCTGTAAGTCTGTGATTAAGTCACTCTGTTATTTGCATTTCAGGGAGTCCATCTTCTGTATCCAGTACAACATTCGGGCATTCATGAATGTCAAGCACTGGCCTTGGATGAAGCTGTGCTTCAAGATCAAGCCCTTGCTGAAGAGTGCAGAATCTGAGAAGGAGATGGCCAACATGAAACAAGAGTTTGAGAAAACAAAGGAAGAGCTTGCAAAGTCTACGACAGATAGGAAGGGGCTGGAGGAGAAAATGGTGAAACTGGTGCAGGAAAAAAATGACCTGCAGCTCCAAGTGCAAGCTGTGAGTACCACCAGGGCACTTCATGATTCTTGGTTTGTAGAAAATGAAGATCAAATATGCCTTCCAAAGAACAGAATCACAGCAACCATGATAAAACTCAAACTTATAAATAAGGGTGATATTTAAGACTGTCCAATATGTGGCCCTAGCAGGAGAATTGAATTGGAGAGACCTTAATCTTACATCCTTACAGACTCAATATAAAGAAGAAAATATTTTCAATGATAGTATATGTGTAAAAAAATAGAAATATATATCCATGTGTAAACACATATGTGTGAATATATATGTATATTATATACCTACACAGAAACTATGCATATCTATAAAATGCATATATACAAAGTTTACAAAACTACATGTATATGCACAGTGTGAAATAGGTAAATATATATGAATTACATGTGACCATATGGTTATACTCTAAAAAAAATATTGACTGAAGTATTCTAAAAGGAACAAGAGGAAACAGAAGCGTGAAAGAATTCCCATTATTTCAGAGCTTCAACGTATAATGAAAAGCATGGCAGACATCTTTATCCTCAGAATAAACTTGTAGATGAGGGGGTTCCTCTTCTCTGAAAGAGCATTTCCTTCATGATTCAGGATGCTGGGTTCCAAATTCTCACCAGAATTATTAATAGGATACTTAGCAATGATCACTCAGTCAAAGGTCAGAAGAAAACCTTACAGAATATATGTGAGTCTGTATAGGGCTGTGCTTTGACATATACCTTTGGTGAAAAATATGAAGCTGATTATATTTTATGCATTATTCTAAGCAACAAAAGTGAATTAGTGAAAAAAAAAAACAACAACAAAAGATATAAATAGTTATGAAAAATTTTCAAGAAATCTTTCTATTGTAGGAAGCGGACGGCTTGGCTGATGCTGAGGAAAGGTGTGACCAGCTGATAAAAAACAAAATCCAGCTGGAAGCAAAAGTTAAGGAGCTATGTGAAAGAGCAGAAGATGAAGAAGAGATGAATGCTGAGCTGACAGCCAAGAAGAGGAAATTGGAGGATGAATGTTCAGAACTCAAAAAAGATATCGACGATCTTGAGTTAACACTGGCCAAGGTAGAGAAGGAAAAACATGCCACAGAAAACAAGGTATACAATACATTTTGTTACACTCAGTCAAGGAAAAGATATTAATTTACAATTCCTGTAACAGGATTGTTTTCTTTTTCAACAGGTGAAAAACCTCACAGAAGAGATGGCAACCCTGGATGAGACCATCGCTAAGCTGACAAAAGAGAAGAAAGCCCTCCAAGAGGCCCATCAGCAGACACTGGATGACCTGCAGGCAGAAGAGGACAAAGTCAATACGCTGACCAAAGCTAAGACCAAGCTGGAGCAGCAAGTGGACGATGTAAGCACACAGCCATACAGCAAGAACAGGACCGGTACGGACTTAGACCTGGCTGGTAGAGCACTGATGGCCTTGTTCTCTTTAGCTGGAAGGGTCCCTGGAGCAGGAGAAGAAGCTGCGCATGGACCTTGAGAGAGCTAAGAGGAAACTCGAAGGAGACCTGAAGCTGGCCCATGACAGCATAATGGATTTGGAAAATGATAAGCAGCAGCTGGATGAGAAACTGAAGAAGTGAGTGTGGCTGTGGGGCACCTGAGTGCTGGGCTGGTGGACTTGTCTGTGTTCTTTGAGCTCTAACGTGGTTTGCTTTGCCCAAAGGAAAGACTTTGAAATCAGCCAGATCCAGAGCAAGATCGAGGATGAGCAAGCCCTGGGCATGCAGCTACAGAAGAAGATCAAGGAGCTGCAGGCAAGTCTCTGTTCCTTCCCCTCTTTCATCCAGTCTTGGGTCAGGAAGGAGAAGGGCATGGGTGTGAGGGGTGCCTAATGTTCCCCAGGCGCGTATTGAGGAACTGGAGGAGGAAATTGAGGCAGAGCGAACCTCTCGGGCAAAAGCAGAGAAGCATCGTGCCGACCTCTCGAGGGAGCTGGAGGAGATCAGCGAGCGCCTGGAAGAAGCAGGAGGGGCCACTGCAGCTCAGATGGAGATGAACAAGAAGCGTGAGGCAGAATTTCAGAAGATGCGTCGCGACCTCGAAGAGGCCACGCTGCAGCACGAAGCCACGGCTGCCGCCCTGCGGAAGAAGCACGCGGACAGCACGGCCGAGCTCGGGGAGCAGATCGACAACCTGCAGCGAGTGAAGCAGAAGCTGGAGAAGGAGAAGAGTGAGCTGAAGATGGAGATCGATGACTTGGCCAGTAACATGGAGTCTGTCTCCAAAGCCAAGGTGCACAAATACCTTATAGGTGTTTCTGTTTCAATGGAATTGCATACAAGGCAACTTCTTGCACCTACTATTATTAAGAATGTGAATGGTTAATCCTTCCCTTTCCATGTGTTGACATACAGGCAAGTCTGGAAAAGATGTGTCGCACACTGGAAGATCAACTAAGTGAAATTAAGACAAAGGAAGAAGAGCATCAGCGCATGATCAACGACCTCAGTGCTCAAGTCCAACTCCCCTGCTGAAGCAGGATTGCCTAGAGCTTGTCAGAGCATGTTACTCAGGAGCATCCAGGCGGGTCTTGAAAATCTCCAAAGAAGGGAGATCTCCAAAGAAGGGAGAAATCTCCACAACCTCCCTGGGCAGCCTGTTCCAGGGCTCTGTCACCCTCACCGTGAAGAAGTTTTTTGAGTGGAACCTCCTATGTTCCAACTTGTGCCCGTTGCCCCTCGTCCTCTCACTGGCAGCCACTAAACAGAGTCTGGCTCCCTCCTCCTTCAAACCCCCCTTTAGGTACTTATAGGCATTGATAAGGTCTCCCCTCAGCCTTCTCTTCTCCAGCTTTCAGCAGATTCTGATGATACTCTCCAAGACAGGGTTCAAACACATATGCTTACACAGTTTCAGAAAGAGGGGACTAGTGTCCCCGGAGCACCTGTCACCAACACATCCCCATCCTCCGGAACATGTTAATGAAGGCTCCATCAGCTCCCAGCTTTGCAGTTGCCTAATTAGAGTTTCAGTCTAATTTCACTGTCATTGTCACTGTCAAGAGAGGCAACTCAAGACAGATATTCAGGTTACCAATCCCAGTGTCTCCACAGGCCAAGAACGCCCTGGCCCACGCCTTGCAGTCTGCTCGCCACGACTGTGACTTGCTCCGGGAACAATATGAGGAGGAGCAGGAGGCCAAGGGGGAGCTGCAGCGTGCCCTGTCCAAGGCCAACAGCGAAGTGGCCCAGTGGAGAACCAAATACGAGACGGACGCTATTCAGCGCACGGAGGAGCTGGAGGAGGCCAAGTACGTGGGAAGTGGGAAGTCAAATGGCTGTAGAAGACTGAGACTGTCAAGGGAAACTGGAGCCTCTGAGAGTGGGCTAGGACAGGGGTGGGATGAAGGCAGGGACATACAGTCTTTGTGGTAAAGGGGAGAGAGAGGGAGAAGAAAAAAATGTTCTGGGAAAAGTGAAGATTGGAAGGACAAACGTAGCCTTTAGGGCTAGAAAGCGTAAGACAGGCCAAATGCTCAGTAGGCGCTGAGACACAAATGCCATTGACCGTTTAGCTCTAACCTGGAGCTGTGCTTATCTCCTCCCAGGAAGAAGCTGGCACAGCGCCTGCAGGACGCAGAGGAACACGTTGAAGCTGTCAATGCCAAATGTGCCTCCCTGGAAAAGACAAAGCAGAGGCTGCAGAATGAAGTGGAGGACCTGATGATTGACGTGGAGCGATCAAATGCTGCCTGCGCAGCTCTGGATAAGAAGCAGAAGAACTTTGACAAGGTGCTTTGGGCTCCAGGCCTGGGGCTCCTGGGCAGAGCTTCCCCTCCTCATTGCCACATGCATACTCACACCCCGTTTCTCTTCAGATCCTGGCAGAGTGGAAGCAGAAGTATGAGGAAACGCAGGCTGAGCTGGAAGCCTCCCAGAAGGAGTCTCGCTCTCTCAGCACGGAGCTCTTTAAGATGAAGAATGCCTATGAGGAGTCCTTGGACCACCTGGAAACGCTGAAGCGTGAGAACAAGAACTTGCAGCGTAAGTCCCTGGCCCTCTGCTCCTGGCAGGGCTTTCTCCAGGTCCACCATTCCCTATGGGTCTGTGCCTGCAGGTCACCCAAGAGGCTTGTCACCTTGGTGTGACGGGGCCCTTCCCATTCTGCTCTGTGCCTGACCATGCCATTGGTCTTTGTTCCCACAGAGGAGATTTCCGACCTCACGGAGCAGATTGCTGAGGGAGGAAAGGCGATTCATGAGCTGGAGAAAGTCAAGAAGCAGATTGAGCAGGAGAAATCTGAAATCCAGGCTGCTCTGGAGGAAGCTGAGGTACATGCTTGTAATCATTGTTTTCTTTAGACGGATACTGAGGAAAAGTGTGTTAGATAAAATCTTGGGACTGTCAAGGAAATGTCATTGCTCTCTTCTTGTTTGGTCTGAAGGTCAAGCCTCAGTTTTCACATCATCCAGAGCAAAGCATCACTTTTTATTCTGTAAGACGTCGTTTGGAACAGAGGATCCGGATATGAAATCCTTTAATGACACAATGTTTCTTTCTTATTCAGGCCTCCCTAGAACATGAAGAGGGGAAGATCCTGCACCTCCAGCTTGAGCTCAACCAGGTGAAGTCGGAGATCGACAGGAAGATAGCAGAGAAAGATGAGGAGATCGACCAGATGAAGAGAAACCACCTCAGAATCGTGGAGTCCTTGCAGAGCACCCTGGACGCTGAGATCAGGAGCAGGAATGAAGCCCTGCGGCTGAAGAAGAAGATGGAGGGAGACCTGAATGAAATGGAGATCCAGCTGGGCCATGCCAACCGCGTGGCTGCAGAGGCACAAAAGAACCTGAGGAACACACAGGGAGTGCTCAAGGTCTGTTCAGCAAAGCTACAGAAAGAGAAATTACATCCCCATCATTTTTGGTGCCCAAGTTCACATTGCCTCCTTGCAATTGCTCTTGCCTCTTTCTTTTACAGGATACCCAGATACACTTGGATGATGCTCTCAGGACACAGGAGGACCTGAAGGAGCAGGTGGCCATGGTGGAGCGCAGAGCAAACCTGCTGCAGGCTGAAATTGAGGAGCTGCGGGCAGCCCTGGAGCAGACTGAGCGCTCAAGGAAAGTGGCTGAGCAGGAGCTTCTAGATGCCACTGAACGTGTGCAGCTCCTCCACAGCCAGGTAAGGGAATTGTGTGGAAACCAGTCATATAGCTCCTCCAGTGTGGAGGACTGGTGTGTTTCAGAGAACTGAATGATCTGGAAGAGCTTCCCTACTGTTGTCTAGAACAGAAGGCATACTTACAACCCATCAGCTGAGCCCAGCACTGACATTTTTTAAATAACCTTTTTAAAAAGTATTCCAGGTTTTGATTATAAGTCTGAAGAGTAAAGACTTGGCTCAGGTGGTAGATTTGGTATTGCAAGCATCAGAATACAAGTCTTGCAATCTTTCTTATTACACAGAACACCAGTTTGATCAACACCAAGAAAAAGCTGGAAACAGACATCATGCAAATTCAGGGTGAAATGGAGGATACAATCCAGGAAGCGCGCAATGCTGAAGAGAAAGCCAAGAAGGCCATCACAGATGTGAGTCGGGGGCTCCTTTCATGGCTGATGGCGGGTGCATTCTCCCCCAAAGTGCCTCCAACCCCCAAATGGCTTTGCTTCTTTGCTTCACCAGGCAGCCATGATGGCAGAAGAGCTGAAGAAGGAGCAGGACACCAGCGCCCACCTGGAAAGGATGAAGAAGAACCTGGACCAGACGGTGAAGGACCTGCAGCACCGTCTGGATGAGGCTGAGCAGTTGGCTCTGAAGGGAGGCAAGAAGCAAATCCAGAAGCTGGAGGCCAGAGTGCGTAGGGCTGGTATTTGTGCATGGGTGAATACGTGCCTTGGAGAGACACCAGGAAGCTCCAAAGTTGGGCTTCTCATTGCAGGTGCGGGAGCTGGAAGGGGAGGTGGATGCTGAGCAGAAGCGCAGCGCTGAAGCCGTGAAGGGTGTGCGCAAGTACGAGAGGAGGGTGAAGGAGCTGACCTACCAGGTACGGCCAGAGGCCTCCTTGGGCTGAACAAGTTTTCTCACAGCAAGTCACATTTTGTGAACACCACTCCCAAGGGGAATTGATAACCCCACCTGGTGGGAAACCAACAATTCATTCCCTTTCCTCCCTCCTGGCCACTCTAGTCTGAGGAAGACCGGAAGAATATTCTGAGGCTCCAGGATCTGGTGGACAAGCTGCAAACGAAGGTGAAATCCTACAAGAGACAAGCTGAGGAGGCTGTAAGTACCACTCTGAGTTCTGGCTAAATCACTCTTAAAGGGGTATTGAGGAAGTGATTTTGAGCATTTATGAGTTGTTTTTTTCTTTTCATCATGATGCGTTTGAGGTTTGATTATGTATCCGTGGGACTGATTAGGATTTCACAGAATAATATGCAAATATTTGAAAATATGAGGACTGACAGATTATAAATTTACTTATTTTTGAATGTAAATAATCCTCAACTCTCTTTAACAAGAACACAGCAATCAAATAATTTCTTATTACTGTCTGGCTAATATAATATTTTTAAATGATTTTGGTTCTTCTTAAAAAAAAAATAATCATGGTTTTATTTGATATTTCTGTCCCTGATCATAGAAATGTGGTTTTAATAAGTATGCTAGGCTTATGGAATTTACACATAATATGGAAATGTACCTGCAAAAAAGTTAAATTCTTAGAGGGCTGCTGTGCTTCTATTTATACTATTGCTAGGGAATATGAGTGATCAGGGTGTGCAAACAGCAATTTAACATTTCACACTGCATTAAATGCAGATGGGGGACCCAGAAGTACTACTCAAGATTGTTGGTGGCTCCTAGAAGTGCTCCAGAAATGGTGGCAACATGCTATAGATCAGTTTACAGCACCAGGTGGGGTGATCATCCCAGCTCTTCAGAATTCTCAGCCAAAACAGATCTTCTGAGAGAAAATAGATTTTTCTTGCTGGAGTGCAAAGGTTTTATTCCTGAGGCTTGGGCTTATACATTCTGGTCAGGTGATGAATTGCCAAGTGAAGGAGCTTCAGGAGGAGGTGAGCAGGTGTTACTTCTGGAATGCCAAACAGGCATGAATGATCAAACGGACCCTCAGAGAGAACCTGGAGCTGCAAGAGCTCAAACTCAGCATTACACGGAAGGGCAAATTGCCTCAGGCTAGACTTGATGAAGACTTCCAAGAAGCTGGGAGCCTTTGATATCGGCCATTATGAGAAGACATATTCACCACCCACAGATGTACACTAATAGACTAGATACAGGGTCTGGTGACAAGTGAGATGCCTTTCTTCAGAGAAGACATCTGGGCCAGGTGAGCCTGACCCATGCTTCCATGAAGGGGTGGTGAAACTGGCTGGACACTCCTTTCTAAATAGGGTTGAGGAACTAATCTGCTAACCAGATCTGCTTTCTCAGGAGCCTTCTCTAATTGCTGAGAGCTCTAATCCAGAATGTTCTGGAGGGACTAACAAATTTTGGCTAGCCATCAGATTATCAGCCACTGTTTCTTCTGGGCATGTCGGTCCTGCTTTGAGAAGGAAACAGGACTGGGAAAGCTCCTGAGATCTCTTTCAAAATGAGTTAATCATTGTTTCTGATATGCAATAGTACTGCCCAGAGATTAAAGAGCTCTGGGGACTACAGTGAAGGACATGAGAGCTCAAGTGTTGTCCTCCCTGATTCTGCTGATGAAGGGGACTGCTCGGGTATGAAAAGATGCATTCTTCAGGTCAACAGCTGGTTATGTGTCTGATGTCACAGGCAGGGCTTTGGTTTTTATGGCTACATCTTGTTTTGTGAGGAACAAGAACTTCTAGGGACTAGTGAATTTATTTTAACAAATAAGGTAAGAGCACATTTGCCAACATGCTTGCTGATTCAGTAAGGCCTTTAAATTAAGTTTGTTGGGGGAGCATAACTTAATTCCACAAGCAAAAAGACAAATGGATGCAGGGAGGAAGTATCTAGGGGACAGCAAATCAGGGGAAGTACTTACACCTCCCCTGAGAAAGTAGCATGACAGGAAAACATCTCATTTGTCTGTAGACAAACTCATATAGCATGGGGAACATGCAGGAGAAATGAGAAGTCTGTGCAGTCACTGCAGAGCTAAGACCTCGCTGAGATCATAGACACAGTGTGCTAGCTCTTATGACTGACGTGCTGTATTTTTAAGGACCACCTCTACAGAGCACAGGAATTAGCAAAAGTTCAAGCAGTATATATATAGTAGTAGTATAGTATATAGTAGCAGGAGGCTATATATTATGAATAGAGAAAACCTGACTAAGTTCAAAATCAGAAAGGAACTATATGGAAAGTGGAAGCAGGGATCAACATCTCATGAGGACTATAAGGACATTGCCTGAACATACAAGGATGGAGCCAAGAAAGCTGAACTGTAGAGGAAGATTGAGCTAGGAACCACTTAAGTAAACTGGACATACACAAGTCCAATAGACTAGACAGAAGCATCTAACTGTCTAGGGAAGCTGGACAATGACATTGCAATTTCTCTATTGACTTTGAAGCTTATGGCAAGTGGTGAAAGTCTCTGATGACTGGAAAAACACTCATCTTAAAGAAGGGCAAGACGGAGGATTTAGAAAGCCCCAGCAAGTCAGCCTTACTTCACACATTGGGAAGATCCTGTTCCAGATCCTCCTGGAAGTAATGTCAAAGCAAGTGAAAGAGAAGAAGATAAATGGAAATTGCAAGCATTAATTTAAGAAGAAGAGTTCTTATGTTGTTTTCCTTGGTCAAATGTGATGTTGAGCAGGAGACTACTTGTCTTGAAGGTGCAGATTGAAAGGGACAGGTTCCCAAAGGGCACAAGTTGCTTCAGCAAAATTCTGAGTGTAAGATAAATATTTTCACCATGAAAATGTTTAAGTCCTGAAATGGGAGCCCAGAGAGTCTGTGGAATCTTCATTCTTGTGGACACTCAAAACTCAACAAGTCCCTGCAAGCAGATCTAATATCGGTTCTAGCCCTGTGTGAGTGGGAGATTGGACTGGATGGTAGCCTAAGGTTCCTGCCAACTTCTAAGTTTGAAGTCTCAGTCCTTGGACTGAATAAAAGTTGTTCACAATTGTCCGAGTCTTTCATTCAGAGGTAACATGTACCTGTTCTAAAAATGCATGCCAATCAAAAAGAGGTTGATAGATGGTCATTGAAGGCAGGCAGGCAAAAAGAGGGAAAAGGGGTGTAAAAACTGTTTGGATTAGGAAGTGACTGGTGTCTGTATACATTTACAGGTATTTGTTTTCTGGGAATGTTTTGCCAGATTCAACAGGCCTAGAGCATCAAACGGAAGGTTGTTTCTACAGGTCAGCAAGTCTGGATCATTAAAAGCGGGATTCCAAATTCAACACAGTCATATTTGAAGATATTTAGGTGGCCAGCCATGGTTTCTTTTCAGTTTAGTTCTGAAATCCAGATATACACGAATGCACTGAACTCCTGATCTGACAAGTTATTCTAAGATACGACATAGCACGTTGTCAGTCTCCTTACTGCTATAAGAATTTGGTTAAAAAATACAGTTTTAGTATTACTCTATAGATAAAAAGGAGTTACATCAACCTTTTAGTGAATTTTCTAGGTAAGCAAAAAGATGAAGGAGATTTGTATTAAGAGCCTAGATAAGAGCTGGAAAGTAGAAACAGAGGCTTCTGGTAGAGGAAAATGGAAGTGTCAGCCTTTACATTTTCACAGCGCTCTCTTCCCCACAGGAGGATCTCTCCAATGTCAATCTCATCAAGTTCCGCAAGATCCATCATGACCTGGAGGAAGCTGAGGAACGGGCTGACATTGCAGAGTCGCAGGTCAACAAGCTCCGAGTGAAGAGTCGGGAGATTTATAGGAAAAATTAAGGAGAAGAATGAGGATCTAGAAAGTTGAAAAGTGACTAGGGAACACACAGAATGTAAAGCTCCATCACTTTTCTCTGAAATTGTAGTTTGTTCCTTTAGAAATGTGTAGAAAATAAAGATTGTAGAGGTCTTGGCATATTAAGCGCTTCAAATGACTTTTCTTTTGCAATCTCATTCATTTTTTCTAAATCCTCAACTTTCTCTGTTGTCTATTGTATACATGCATTATGATGTATCCTTACATATCCTTATATATAATAATGGAAAATTATTAAATGTGTAAGTACATACACATATGCTTATACATATTCCATTACATACACATGTTTATATAGATATACACTCCATATGCTGCTATACATGACTGACAATGCAAACTGGTGTTAATGAAGCACCAAGTGGGGAAACTATTGTTTGATACTGAGTGAGGGCTGAAGTGCCTTAGCCTAAGCTGGTTTTCTGCAGTATGGCTTTTATCCTGTCCTTAATATCTCTTTCTGGGCCACATCAAGTAATGTTATAATCAGATCTTTCATGTTTAGTAGTTTTAACATTTCAGAGGGATAACTGTATGTGGGATGAAGATTTCAATTTTGTTGGAGATTTCCTCAGTGGGAAGAAGATATGGTTTGTTAGCCTATTTTCCTTCCATTATATTTGTATCAATATAAACAGTGCAGATTAAAGAAGTTTCTTGTGCTGGCACTTAGCATATTACACTGTGATCTATCAGTTGATTCTTTTCAGCCATTCCTGGGGCTCCTCCTATTCTGTCACATCCTTTCTGAGATGACATCACCAAACCTGCCTTTAGTAGTTGTGTTGTGAACAAGCCATGGATGCACCTTGTAGGATATTAAAGCCTGAGCTATGTGCCATATGAAGGTATGATAAGAGGATTCCTGCCAGCCATAGCTTGGGGCACAACTACCTCAAACCTTTTCATAATGAGCTGCCACAAAACCCCAAAGAGCTTTTAAACTAAAAAGGTTTAGCAGCATATCACCTTGTTGCACTTACATTATTAAAAATGAAAAAAGACTAGAAAAGACATGGAAACAAGCAAAAGCTTATCAACAACTGGTCAACTGCCTAAAGGGTCCTTGCAGGCAGGTCCTTGCATCCAAATTGACTTTAGTTAATTCTTATGTCTTTCCTCAGAACAGCAAGGTCCTCCCAGTCCCATCAGGGCCCAGGAGGTTGCCCTTTTCTGCACTCCTACATCAGGCTGGCTGCTCTTCCTGGCTGTTGCAGTATCCCATGAACTGCAGGCTTCTAGCACCATGCTGTGCCTCTATTACCTACTACACCCTGACCAGGTATGATGCTGCTTGGGAATAGGAACCTCTCACTCCTACAAGCCTGTTGTTGTGCTTAAAAAAACATAATATATTTACTAAGAACAACTAAATTAAGCATAATCTAGCAAAGCATGTTTTATAGAGGTAGTAATAGCCTTTCCTGGTATCAGTTGACATATCTGAGAAATATGAATAAATATTCTGAACAGCCTTACTTCATTCTTTCTTCAGTAACCTGAAAGCTTTGTGTAATCTATATTGGAGCTCAGCTTTAAAATGCAGTTTAGTGCAAGTAGATAGTGCAAGGGAAGTTCATCAGTCCAAATTAAGGATAAAGACCTTTTGTTTTAAAGAATTGGGGATCTTCAGAGTAAAAGTTAATGCACACCTGTTTGGTACTGAGAAAGTTATCATTTATCAGAAAGCAATTCGCACACAGCCAGCATTTAGTTAAAGCAGGATAAGTGGGGAAAAAGCACACTTAAAATACCTGAGACAAAGGAATAGGCAGCTGTATTGATTTTGGCAGGAGAACTTCTTCAACCTGGCAACAATGGTCTGTCTATCTTTATAATAAGTGTTTTCCTTCATGTGTGCTATATATTAACCAGCTGTATTCTAGACCTACCGAGATCAGTTTACAATATGACTAGATGTGGCGTGACAATAATAAATGTGACCAAAAGCAAGCGCACACTTAAATTACACTCTGTGTGTTTATATGTGGCTAAAGTATGTTCATTATAAGCTATAGCTATATAAGCTATGATTTGGACTTCCATTGAGATGATCTTCCCACATATTTTTTTGACTAGATGAGACTTATCAGGTGTTCTTATATGTCACAAAATTAATATTGCTACCTTAGTTACTTACAGTTGTAGGTTAAACTGGAGCTGGGAACTGGATTTTGTTGGATACTGAACAGGGTCTGGCAGTAGATATGCTGTTTGCCTTTTCTACATTTCCCCTCTGGAACTCTGTAGATTGCTTCAGAGCATGCCTGTGACAGCTTCCTCAAGCAGAATAGCACTATCATGCTTGGCAGCACTGCCGCCACGGAGTATGAGAATGGATGTTTCTGCATCCATCTACTGGCAGCAGGGCACCATGCATCAGTGCCACTAAAGAGTTGTTTTCATTCCACCAGCCAGACCATGCTGGCTTTAGAATAATGATCTTGGTTAGAATAGCTTTTGGCTGGCCTTTTCTGCCTTCTCAAAGAGTTAGAAGTGGGAAGTTTGATACTAAATAGCAGTTGGCTAGAGCAGTATTTCCTGTGTGGACCTGGAGTCAGCTGCTATGGAAGTACTGGAGTATTCTCTCTTCATCTCATTAGGGTTTTTTGTTAATTCCTAAAAAAAAGTAAAATATTGCTCAGAGGATGGGAAGGAGTGCAGGACTTTCATTTTCAGATGTCAAATGAGACAGTCAAAGTAGAGTACAGTAAATAACCTTTCATCATTTCTTTTTAGATCCATTACTTTACTAGGTAATTCCTATTAGCCCTGTGAAGTGAAACCAAATATGAGATGTCAAACTCAGGTAATAATATATTGTAAATGTAATCTTTGAAACAATGTAGTGAAATTTGAACTTTCTCCCTCATTTCCCTAGTGTGTTGATTTGAATGGCCCATGACGAAGGTTTAATGTAAAGAATCTTTCCCACTAATATCTGATCTGTAATGACTCTCTAATTGGCTGTTTTCAATTTATTAAGAGAATGGGCTATAAAAAGAGGCAATTCATCTGACACCTGTCTTAGATTTTCTTGCCTTTGACCATGCAAGGAGGCTGTGTTAATTACAGACTCAGAAATCTGAATTTTTGATGCTGAAAGCTTAAAGAGGTTCCAATCCCAAACTCCTTCCAGTGCATCCAAAAAGGAGGTTTTAGAACGTGATAACTTGTCAAGACCAGAGTGCATTAACCTCGCAGGGTGGCTTCCCAGGAGAGCTAACAGCTTCAAAACTGCTCAGTCTGTTGTATAACTTAACTTTTCATTCCTCCTCAGTACACAGAGTATGGAAAAAGAGCCATCAGTGTTTCAAAAAGATTTCAAGAATGATTTTAAGGAAACCAAATCTGAAGAAACTGTAACCAAGAATGTAATTACTGAACACATAGTAAATTATCCATCAGAGATTCTGGAGGCACCGGAAAGGCAAGAGTATAGTTATTCTCACTATAGTATTGCTATTCACTCTCAGATAATTTATCTTATTAACAACTGCATGCTCAAAGAATACTTTGTCTTCCCTCCTGTGAGTCACTGATGGATCTGGCTGCCTGTCTGAGGGAATGTCTAGCATGAGAGATCCCGCCCATGGAGCTAAATCAACCGGTAAATGCAAAGACCAATTACCTTCCCACCAATAGACAGAGTTTAAGGTGTGTGAAAAGACTTCTGCTTGAGCTCCTGTGGCACCTAGATACTCCCTGGCATCCTCATCAACCTGTCATGGTGTATGGGAAGGGTACATTTCTGAATGGCTTAGCCACTCACTGCTCCAAACCAAGGCGAAACTGAAAGTAGTTAGGTCCAACCTAGCAGAGGTGGCAGCTAAAATCAGAACTACCTCCAGAATTAACTGTTAGAAAACAGCTCCTGCAAGCTGTCCTCTGTTCATGCCTGTTCTCTGAAAGCCATGACTCCCATTGTCACCCAGCATCAGGTTCTTTAGCTTGTTTCTATACTTAGATTCTTTGCTGCTCTTTCACAGGACAGTTTTACAGGACCACATTGTTTTTTTCTCTGCTCAACTCTGGATTCAGACTCCTCATGATCATTTTAAGTCCTTTTTGTTTTGTCTTCCCTCTGATTTTGTTTACATGTCTTTTATAAATCAATGTCCATCCTGAGTAAGAATGTGGTGATGGCAAAGAATCATGTTTCCTTGGTAATTTTGTCACCTGGGGCCCAAAATCATCTGGTGCCCAGTGACATCTTGACTGGATGTGTCCCTCTGTCTCATGAGAAAACATTACATAGGTTTATGCCTCACTTCTGTGTTCAAGAGTGAAAAGAAGAAGCAATGTCAGATTAAGATGGCTTTGGTGCTTTGCCAGCTGCTTTGCTTCAGTGGTTCTCTTCATGAGCCCACTCTGAAGCTATTAGTATGCCTAATTGTGTAACCGTATAGGTAAAATTTGTTAAAAGAAACCTCTTAAAGGAAAACTAAATCACTGGCCAATCTGAAAAATTATCAACTTCATTTTGCTTGTTGTGAAATGAAATTAAACGCTCTTGAAGATTTGCCAAAGTCCAGAGACATTAGTGTGATGCACCTGTTTTTCTTTTACTGTCAAATATGGTGTTGAATTTCTTCTGTGATTTACTAACCTGTCATGTCTAACAGACTACTGCTGATCCAGCATGAAATCTTGCTCTGGATCATGAACTGTGCTATTAAGAACCAGTGTTTGTAGGAAGTCCTTCTCCACCAGTCTTTTACATACACTAAAAATGTATCAGATTTTTGGACTCCTCCTCTCCAGTGTCTTTTTTTTGTGAAGGCATTTCTGAACTGTTTGATCTAGATGGATCATTTTTACTCTAGTAATTTCTTGTGATTATACAAAGGATTGAGAAAAAGTTTAGTTTAATATAGCTAACAACCCACCAGCATTGTCTATGCAAGGGAAATGGTGGGGTCACTCAGCTGTGGCAGAGAATCTCATAGCCAGAGGAAGATCT